ATGCTGCGTGCCCACTTTCTTTGCTACCAATTATGCTGCCCTTTTCTGTTTGGTCAATTTGTTGGAGGATATCATTACTATTTTTGGTAGTTCGTGGATGCTTAGGGGTTATTGGTAACCTTTCATTCTATAAATGATGTATCCTAGTATTGTATGCATTAAAATTATGTAAATATTTAGAATATTTACTTTATAAGAGGCATGTTGAAGGTAAGAGGAGTTATAATTCCCCTCAATTCTAAAATATATGTAAAATTACAAATAAATATGTCAACTTAATACAATTAAATATATGGACACTCATTGGTATAAAAAAACTAGATTCATAATGCATTATTTTTCTATATATTATCTTGGACACAAATTTGGAATCAAATGTTGTATGCCACATAATACATGTATTCTCATAAACCGGCATTCTGAATCAAAAGTTCAAGCGACACCTTAATTTGATAGGTCGGAAATTAATAATCAAAACATCAACTCTAGATTATTTTTTCACATACAAGAAAATGTGTGGTTAGCTCTTTTTACCACCACAAAGAGTTCAATGTATGCCGAGGCCAAGCGAGGGGGAGTTACAACCTTACCAGAGGAATAAGTAGCAAGAGGAAGTGGGGAACATAATCAAGACGTTCGAATCCAACCTTAGTCAAATTATGTTTAATGATGCCGAATTAGCAAGCTCATGCGTATCGCATCGGAGTATTTTTAGTTGTTGCTTCTTTTGTAGTCATTCTTTTTTACTTATGATTTACTCTATGTGTGGAAAAATAAAAACTACGATTGAATCGATTTTCCTTATTTGAATCACAATATCTACCAATGGGAGGAAGTAGAAATAAATTACTTAATTCCCGTTTTTGTTATGAGGAATCCATTTTCATATAGCTCCATTTTGATCATATATCATGCTGATGAGTCATGAAAGTTATGCCTCAACCAATACGAATTAAGTGGGCACACCATAGAGCGACTAATAAAAATTAAAACAACCTAAATTAAGAACCTTAATCTCCAAACAAAATCATGAGTGATGTAATTTTGACGAGGACAACGCAAAAAAAGTGTCTTGTTTTTAATTTGAGTTGTGGCATTTTGTGTGTTGAATTATTTGCAAGTGCCATAGATCCATCAAATGTGGTCAAGAATTGTGGATTAAGTTTCGCGCTAATTAGCTTGCCAATTTTGTCATCTTTCTCATGGGGCCATGTGAGGATTCACAAATATTTCCATACCAAAATGGTGTAGCTAGTTCCAAGTTTACCTATATTGGAATATCGACAGGATTGATTTATTTTGATGAAAATACAGCCTACGGTTAGGTATTAATTTTAATATTTAATTAAAATAGTTAGTTATTTAAGCATATGCATTTGGTTAAGTCGTAATCAATTAAATATTATTTCTTTCTTGTTATATGTTAGTATTTGTGTAATTACATGTAGCCATGTAGGGTGTGTTTGAGTCATCGTATTTGTAAAAAAAAAAAAAACAACATTTCTCGTATAATCTAACGCGTTATTAAGTTAGTCCTTGGTAGCCAACCAATCAAATATAACTAACTAGTGGGTCAAGATGTGTTTGTGATGGTAAACTTTGCCAAAACTAAACGAAAAAACCACCTTGCAAAGTGCCATAGATACATCACATAATAGTTTTGCTGGTCATATGGTTCTCATTTAAACAAAATGCTTGTCCTATACTAGTAACAAATTGCATAGCAAAGATAGCAAATACTTTGTTTAATATACGTATATATGATCATACGTATTTTATTCGTTTAAAACTTTCGTATTCGTATGAGTGTCAAGTCGTTTCAATTTTTCCCTGTTATTTAATGGCTCTCATTTTAAATATGTATAAAACCCATATAACACATTTAATATCCGTATTTGATGAATTAAATTGCTAACTTAACTATTATTTATATATTAATGTATTTTTAAAATAATCATTTTTATATATTTTGTAATTACTGACGTACTACTTAACGTACCATTAGTTTAGAAACGAAGTAAATACAAGTACTTATTTATACATAACTTACACAAAGTCTCTGCATAGACAGATAATAGGCAAACAACATATATATATATATATATATATGGTGGCTACTTCGGTGCACTCACTTTTTTGGGTGCACTCAGTGCACCCAACTCTAAAAGCGTCCAAAATACTTCAAATTTTGAACTTTAATTAGTACTCTCAATATAATATGATGATATGACATAGAATCATAACAAATCAATCCATTACCCTAACCCCTTAACCTTCAATTTTGAATCCCAACCCAAAATCCCAAATTGTAAACCTAAACCCTAACCCTAAATCCCTAAACCCTAAATCCTTCAAATTAAAGTAAATTTTGAATGAATTTTTTTCAAATTCATGTGCTTCTTGTTCATAATATCATAAGCAACAATTGATACTGTTTTGACATGATTCGCATGGTTAGAATGACAATTATGAGGCGGGTGCACTGAGTGCACCCGAAAAAGTGGGTGCACCGAATACGTCACCATATATAGACAACTCATATCGATCCCCTCTCAGTCAAAACGTGGAAATTCGAAATGACATTGCTGCTATAACTTGAAATTAGATTATCTGTAGTTAATTGAATGTCACAGGAATCTCACTTCTATTTTGGGCATGGTGTTTCATTTTCAAACTGGATTAGAGTTAGGCCATTTGGAGAAAGGACTGTATATATCTTCTAATCTCTATGTAATATGTATCTCTTCAAGTTAGTCTTTCCTGTCCGTGAATTAGTTAGCGCATGAATCACGTAAATTTGTGTATTTATTACTTTCTTACATGAGCGATTTCTAAAAAAATTATTTATATATAACATGCACAATTAAGGTTTACTTCAGGCCTTGACATTTGGCAACATGCTTTAATAAGCAATTAAATACCTTTTCCTGTTACCATTCTCACCCACTCCCCTAGAGGAAATCGCCCTTAGCTCGGCTTAAGTAGACGACTTCAACAGGTTTAAGAACTTTGTGAGGCAGTGAAAACAAGACCATTTCCTTTTTCTGAATGGGATTTGTTCGAATATAAAGAGAAGACCATTCCATGTTGTAAAATGGGATTTGTTCAGAGTCATTATTTTTCATACATTTGGTCCATGAATTGTGCTTAAAATAATGGAAAAAGAGAGCGACATTGGAGTCCATACAAATATATTCACCCCACCAAAGTCACCACCACAGTGACGTTTTGCTTTTTTTAATACAATTTACTAACCAAACATTTCAAACTTCTTATTGAATTATTAGTCAAATCTTTCAAAATACAAAATTATTAGCCAAATATTAAACTTTGGAGAATATAAAAAATTGCAAATGGGGAGCCAACCAAGGTTCTAGCTAGTTGAAAGGATGTTCCAAGAAAAAAAAAATTATTCTCCGATATACCAATGTCCATTAAAAAAAATGTGAGAAAGGAAACTTAGGAAGAAGGGAAAAGAATAAAAATAAAATAAAATATTGGACTTAAAAAATCTACACCCATGTATCATTGGTATTTCGTGATTGGTAATCGTGTTTGCTAAATCACATCGTATTAGCATATTAAATAAAAAAAATCGACGGTTAGAGATAAAATTGGTATTGAATTTTATAAGTATGAACGATTATGCGTTTACAATCCTATCCTTAACTTATCCGATACCATTTTCCATAAGATCTTACAATCCTTCATAATACCATATATTTAACTTAGAGAACCAAAATTAGTTATGTCACCTTTTAAAACTAGCGAAGTCAAAGATAAACCAATTTTTTTCAGGATAATGTACTCTAATTTTTCACGCACTGGCTACAAGAAGTCAACAACATTTTTTAAAAATTGTAATAAGAAGTCAAGAGCTTAACTCTTTAGTCAATGAAATGATGTAATTATTAAATAGTAACGATTCCTTTTAAAAAATAATTAACATTCCATTTTGAATGCTTGTAATTTACCGTTGATCAGTCTGAATTATCGGAAATTTGAAATTAGGTAAGAGATTAAAAGAATGAGGAAACTGGAAAAAAATACTTGCTATCAAATCATTATTTAATTCTGCTGCATAAATGTTGAACTATTAATGGTAAAGATAATTATTTGAAAAGAAGGAAATGGTAAATTTAAGAGAATACAGTGAATTCAGCCAAAGAAATGTTCTTTTTTAGAAATAGGAAATTAGGAATAAAGGAAATGAAATATCTTAAGGATGATTTTTTTTTTTTTTTACAATATCTTAAGGAGGAATAGGAACCAAAGAAAGAACAAAATTGAGACCATAAGCAAATCACACAATTATGTCCTTTATCATTACTAATTCTCTATAGATTAGCTGATCTATAGATCACAAACTTAAAAGATTTACCTAGTTGATGTCCAATCTTAAGTCATAGGCTCATTGTTTGTAAAAGATTTACCTCGTTGTATCATGTATGTGTGGTTCTCTTTAGTTTCAGATAATTCAAAATGTAAAGGTATATGAGGGAGCTCTTTTGATAAGACAAGAATCTTTTGTGTAACTGAAAAGATTGATTTTGGAATAATATTTTTCTTAGTTTATAATTGTCTTTGTTTAACTAGACATTTTCCATTATTGAATATATTTTTTGCATTTTTAATTATAAATTCTTTTCATGAAAAAATCAGTGTTAAGTTTATGATTTCAATAAATTCATAATAAAAAATCCTAAAATTTTGCAAGTAATGTAATTTCGAGTGGTGGTGTTACAGGAAATTTCAGTGAAAAAGATTAGGACCAAAAGACAGGAAAAAGCTGAAGAAATTGACCGTTCCCCAACCAAAACCAAATGATAACCACAACAAGGAAAAAACATTGATTAAATACGAGGGATTTGGTTTACTTATATAAAATTTCAGTGAAAAAAACATTATACAAATGCACGCCATTGCTGTATAGTGTATACATGGTGTCACGTTCCTATCTTCCAAATAAAAAACTCCCAATAATTTTTCTAACCCTCTACCAAAAATACGAAAAAGGCACCAAAGTTCTCTCTCTCCTTCCGTTTTTTAATACTCTCTCTCGTCATCTCATCCAACTTTTTACAGTTCATACGGACAGACTCTGTCCATTTCTGTACCAATTGTAGACTAGACTATAATGTGGGAGGGAGAGGGATGGAGCTCTACATTGTAGAGAGAGAATGGAAGTCTCCATTGGTCTTTGGTACTGAGTCAAGCTAGAACATGGGGTGACTCGGAAGGTTATGCAGCTGGAGGAGATCTATCTCTCAAGTGTCTGCAACTGCTGCTCTTAATCGACTTCTGGTTTTTTTCCCCTCCTCTTTTTGGGTAAGTTCTTGATCTGAAATGGCCTTAAAGTTTCCATCTTTCGCAGTTTTTCTTCCTACCCATTTGCTCGAACCTCATGTTGTTTTGTGGGTCAATGGCGGCGGCGGCAAACAGGCCACATTTTTTTTTCTTTTCATTTTGGGGGTATTTCCATGTTCTTGTTCTTCCTTTGCCTTGCCTTGTCGTGTCTGGTTCTGTTTTCTTAATTGTTGTTCATGTTTTTTGTGTGTGTTCTCTTTGAGCCCTTGAAATGTGGATTCTGTTTCACAAGCTGTTCCTTTGATTTGATCCCTGAGGGCTTAGGCTAGTTTGAGCGCCTGGTGTTTTCCCCAGGAGGTGGTTCCATCTGAAATTTCCCTATGACCTGTTCTTTCTGTTTAATCTCTCTTTCTCACCTGCTGCACATTCTTCTTCTGATCTGTGATTACTGATACCTATTGTTCTTCCCTGGTTTCTCTTCACAGTGTTACTAACTTGAAGATCCAACTTCAGTTCAGCTCATTTATCTGCTTTTTTGGGAGAGTTCCATTTTGCTAGACTTGCTCCACCTTTACTTCAGAAGGTATAATATCAAGAATTTGAGACTCCGGAAACATATGAAATTGTGATTCTATGTTGTTTTTGCTCCAACTCAGATGATTATTTCTGTGTACAGGTACAGGAAAAAGACCGAGAAACAGGAATTCGCAAAAGCCTAATTAAATAGGGGGAGTGGTTTAACAGATCTACAGTTGTTACTCTGGCCTGGATCCACTATTGCAGTCTGTACTTCTGGTACAAAAACCAGTCTACTGCAAGGTCCAAGCCACTTGCCCTTTTGTTGGTGGGTGGACTCATGGCTACCCTAATGCATTCTGAGTCCAGGAGGCTCTATTCTTGGTGGTGGGACAGTCACATCCCCAAGAATTCCAAATGGCTTCAGGACAATCTCACAGGTGCTTGCTTTACTCATTTCCTTTAGATCCCTTGTGACTTACTCTATTTTTAAGTAGTTACCACTACGTAGTTCATACTTTGCTCCACACTGCAGTCTTGTGGGCCTCTTTTTGTTGGAAGCAAAAGTGATTCATTATCATATGCTTTGCAAAAGTAGGAAACCAAACTTCAGTGAGCAAATAATCATGTACCCTTCATCTTGTGTACACTAGGCAGTTTCTTTAGATTTTGCCTCATGGAACATGATACATATTATTATCTCCTTTAATGTGATTGCTGAAACGAATGACACCGATATTGACAAAGTTTAACTCTGGTGTATAACAGATATGGATGCAAAAGTGAAAACGATGATCAAACTGATAGAGGAAGATGCAGATTCATTTGCTAGGAGGGCTGAAATGTACTACAAAAAACGTCCAGAGCTGATGAAGTTGGTGGAGGAGTTCTATAGAGCTTACCGAGCATTAGCAGAGAGATATGATCATGCAACGGTGGAACTTCGCCATGCTCATCGAACCATGGCTGAAGCATTCCCCGATCAGGTGCCTCATGGATTGACTGATGATTCACCTTCTAGGCAGGAGGGTGAACCTCACACATCAGAAATGCCCCATCCAATTCAGGCTTCGCTAAGCCCAGATGAATGGGAACTCTCTTCAGCCATTACAGATAATGGAGGTCTCAAACAGCTCAACATGATGTTTGGGGCTGATTCAAAAGTTGCTGGAGGAAAGATGAAGAGGGGTTCAAAGTTACCGAAGCAAACCGAATCGGAACTAGACGTTGAGACCTTAAAGAAGACTCTTGGTGAGATTCAAGCCGAGAAGGAAGCTGTTCTTCTTCAGTACCAACAAAGCTTGGAGAAGCTGTCTTGCATGGAGAAGGAACTTATGGATGCCGGTGGGCTTGATGAAAGAGCAAGCAGAGCTGAGATCGAGATTAAGATCCTGAAGGAAACACTTGCCAAGTTAGAAGCCGAGAGAGATGCTGGGCTGCTTCAGTACAACCAATGCTTGGGAAACATATCAAGCATGGAGAATATGATATCTCAGAATCAGGAGCATGCTAAGGGGCTCAATGACCGGGCAATGAAAGCTGAAACAGAAGCACAGAGACTCAAACGAGAGCTTTCAGGATTGGAGTCCGAGAAGGAAGCTCGTCTTCTTCAGTACAACCAATGTATTGAATTGATATCTATTCTGGAGAAAAGAATTGCATTTGCTGAGGAAAATGCCAGGATGCTTAACGAGCAAGCTGAGAAAGCTGAAACTGAAGTTAATTCAATGAGGCAAGCTATTGATGAATTAAAGTGCGAAAAAGAAGCTGCTGAACTAAGGTACGAGCAATGCCTTGAGAAAATAGCAATGATGGAGAATGAAATATCTCGAGCTCAAGAGGATGTCAAGCAACTGATCAGTGAAGTTGAGATGGGTGCTGCAAAACTTAAAGGTGCAGAAGAACATTGTTTTTTGTTGGAGAGGTCGAATCGGTCTCTGCGGTTAGAGGCTGAAACTTTGGTCCAAAGGATAGCAACAAAGGATCAAGAACTCTCGACCAAGGAAATAGAACTGGACACGCTTCATACTTTACTGGAAGAGGAGAAATCACAGTTTGCCCAAGTTGAAGCCAGCTTGCAAACTTTGCAAAAGCTGCACTTGCAGTCGCAAGAGGAGCAGAAAGCCTTGGCAGTAGAGCTGGAAAACAAGCTTCAAATGTTGAAAGAGTTGGAGTTGAGCAACCAGGAATTGCAAGAAGATCTGCATCGAGTCAAGGATGAGAATCAGAGCCTCAATGAGTTAAACAGTTCTTCCAGCATTTCCATAACGAACTTGTACAACGAAATTTCTTGCTTGAAGGAAATGAAGGTGAAACTTGAAGTGAAACTTGCAGAGCAAGTAAGCCAAACTGATTCCATGCAACAGGAGATTTCTCGTTTGAGGCACGAGATTGATGGCTTGAATAGTAGGTATCAGGGTTTAATGGAGCAGATGTGGTCTGTAGGTCTGAATCCTGCTTGTCTTGGCTCATCTGTTAAACACTTGCAAGATGAAAACTCCAGGCTAAGAGAAGTTTGTGAAAAGGATGAACGTGAGAAGGAAGTTCTGCATGAGAAGTTGAAGGCTACAAATCAGCTCCTTGAGAAGAATGTTGCCATGGATAGATGTCTTTCAGAAATGAATGAAAAACTTGAAGGGTCAAGAGAAAACGTGAAGGAGTTGCGGGAATCTTGCCAGCTCCTTCAGGGAGAAAAAACGGGGCTTGTAGCTGAAAAGGGAATTTTGCTCTCCCAGCTACAGCTCATGAATGAGCACATGCAGAAGCTCATTGAGAAAAATACCCTGGTTGAGAATTCTCTCTCTGGTGCCAATATCGAGCTTGAGGGTCTCAAGACAAGGAGCAGAAGCTTAGAAGAATTGTGTGAAATGCTCAAGAACGACAAATCCAACCTTTTGACTGAAAAAAGCACATTGGTCTCTCAGCTGGAAGCTGTTGAACAAAGACTTGGAAACCTTGAAAGGAGGTTCACAAGACTGGAAGAGAAGTACACTGATCTGGAAAAGGAGAAAGAATTCACACTCTTCCAGGTCAAAGAACTGTATGGATACCTTGGAATAGAGAAACAGGAGCGTGCATGCTACATACAGTCTAGTGAATCTCGGTTGGCTGATCTACAAAACCAGGTGCATGCATTGCAAGAAGAAAGTCAGCTGAGGAAGAAAGAATTTGAAGAGGAACTGGATAAAGCCGTAAATGCACAGGTTGAGATCTTCATCTTACAGAAGTTCATCGAAGATTTGGAACAGAAGAATTTCACACTGTTGATTGAATGTCAGAAACATGCTGAGGCTTCAAAACTATCAAACAGTGTGATAACAGAGCTGGAGGCTGAGAATCTGGAGCAGCAGGTGGAAGTGGAGTTCTTGTTGGATGAGATCGAGAAGTATAGAATGGGAGTTCATCAAGTTTTTCAGTCACTTCAGTTTGATCCAATCCATGATCATGAACAAGGAATTGATGAAGGAAAAGTTTCTTTTGGGCGTATGCTAGACAATATTGAGGACATGAAGAGCTTGCTCCAGAGAGAGGAAGATGAGAAGCAATTAATGGCCGTTGAGAACATGGTGCTCTCGACTTTGTTTGATCAATTGAGATCAGAAGGTGCTGACCTTGAGTCACAGAAAAAAGTTCTGGAGACGGAGTACAATGCAATGACAGAAAAGTTCACCGTGGTTGAAATGGAAAATCACGAACTTCAGGAGATGAGCAAGCAATTGGAAATAGAACTGAGGAAAGGTGAGGAACAGAAGGGAGAACTAAAAGCTTCGTTGGAAACTCAGCATTTGAACCTGGAAAGCTTGCAAGGTTCTTACATCTCACTCAAAGCAGAAAACTTTAACATGATTGAAGAAAAGGAATCTTTACGGATGAGATTCTTAGATCTGAAAAGGGAAATGAAGAAAGTTGATGAAGAAAACAGCAACATCATTCAGGAAGCAGTATGTTTGGCAACTCGCTCATCTGTTTATGAGAGCTTTGGAATGCAGAAAGCTGAGGAGCTTGAAGCAGTTTCTGGAGAACTTGATCATCTCAGCTCTGTTAACAGTGAACTCAACAAGAAGATAGAGGACTTGGAGAAGATGCTTGGAGCAAAACAATCAGAGTGTTTGTATCTTAACGAAACAATCAAGAAGCTGCAGTGTGAGTTGCAGGAAGGCCAGGACTTGAATGATCAGTTGAACTGTGAAATTCTGATTGCCAAGGACTTTTTGGGAATGAAAGCATCAGAGCTTTTAGAAGTAGAGCAGAAGCTGAAAGCTACGCAGGAGGCCAATGGTGAACTATGCAGAACAATTGAGGAGCTGGAGAGGGAATCTAAGGAATCCGTTGCAGACAAGGAAAAGTTAGAAAACCAGATTGCTGAGTTGTCCAAAGACAATGCAAACCAGAAACGAGAAATCCAACAGCTTCATGCAGCAAATCAAAATCTGCAGTCAGAAGCGAGCACATTGCAGAAAGAGATTGAGGAACACAGGGTTAGAGAGGAGACCTTGAGCCTGGAGTTACAGGAGAGAAGCAATGAGTCCGAACTCTGGGAGGCCGAGGCTTCATCGTTCTTCTTCGACCTACAGATATCATCCGTTCACGAGGTTCTTCTCGAGAAGAAGGTTCATGAACTCTCTGCAGTTTGTTCAACCCTTGAAGATGACAATGCCACAAAAGATGCTGAGATTGGACAGATGAAGGAAAAGTTCTTTTCTTTGGAAACTGAAATGGTGGGGCTGAAGTCTCAGTTATCTGCATATGCTCCAGCAATAGCTTCATTGAAAGATAACATTGAATCCCTCGAGCAGAATGCTCTACTTCTGTCAAAGCTTCCCTCTTCTTCAGTTTGTGACCAAACCCACAAGGTATCAATGATCATCATTCACTTTTCCTTTCAGTAATACTACATTTGAAGGCTCATTGGTTTGTTGACATGTCTCCTTGTTTTTTGATCAGGACAATGATATAGCTTCTGAAGATCAGTCAAGTGAGGCAAGAGATGGGATCTCCGATTTGCTGAAGATGCTACCAAGAGTTAAAACAGTGGAGAAAGCCATGCTTGAAGAGATGAGCAGGCTAGAAGCCGAGAAGGCCACAGCAGAGAAGGAGAAGCTTGAAACCCATGAGAAAGTGAAGAAGCTAAGGAGGAGATCATCAAGAAGCAGGGGAGACAGCTTCCATAGTTTCGATTCAACCGACAGTGCTCATAAAAACAACTTGCAGAACAAGCACCACCACGACCAACCATCCGAGATAGCACCACCATCACCTGAATTAAAGAACAACATCAGCAGCAGCAATGGCGGTGTCTTGATGAAAGACATTCAACTCGTTAGTTCTTCTTCCTCGCGCAGGAGGAGCAGGAGAGTCTCGAGAGCCGACGATCAAATGCTCGAGCTCTGGGAATCCGCAGAGAAGGATAACGCAGGCCCAGCTCCCCCACTACGGCTGTTGAGTCGAAATCTATCATCCAGAGGTTCGAAGCAGCACAAAACACCCTCAATTCCTTCTTCCGAGAAGGAATTGGGAATCGATGATATAAAGCTGGAGGTTGTACCAACTAAAGAGAAGAAGAGAGCACCCAATGGAGGCAAGATCATGGAAAGGCTTAATTCCGACGGCAAGAAACTGACGTCGCTCTACACATCCGTGCAAGACATGAAAACCAAGGTGGAGACTACTAAGGGAAATGACGTGGAGCTGGAGAAGCTGAAGACTCGGCTGCAGGAAGTGGAAGTAGCTATTGTACAGTTAGCAGAAGCTAACGATCAGCTGAGGAAAGGCGTCCGCAGCGGAGCTTCGTCTCCGGAGGAAATGATGGTTAAAGCGGAGAGCAATGGCGTGACGGAGCAGGCGAGAAAAGGGTCGGAGAAGATTGGGAGGTTGGAGTTCGAGGTGCAGAACATTCAGTACGTTCTGCTGAAGCTTGATGAGAAGTGCGGGGAGACGAAGAAGAAGAAGGGTAATGTGCAGCAGAGGTTTTACGGGAGCAAGACGGGTGTTCTGTTGAGGGATTTTATCAGCAGTGGTGGGAGGCGAAGGAGTTTCAGGAGGAGGAAGAAGGGTTGTTTCTGTGGTTGTGGGAGACCGGCCACCATTGAAGAGGAATGAGACAGGAAGGAGACCGACTGTTGTTTCTACCTTTCTTTTGTTGTAATATTTGTAATGTAGCTGTTGAAACTTGGAGGAGAAGAAGGATTTGTCATGTTGTTCTTCTGTGTAACGAACAAAGGATATCTTTCTCCTGTGTAGTTTATCTCAGCTTTTTTTGGAGCTTATTTCCTGTGGTGGTAGAACAGTAAGTTTAGGTTGGATTTTATGTAGGGAAGACCATAAGTGATAAATAAATGGAGTCAGTCAGGTTGATCCCAGTCCCATCTCCCTTTGCAGTCGAGTGCAAAGATTCACTTTGATGGCTGATTCTCGAACAATTTCGTGGTAGTACGATATATAGAGATACATTTGTGGAACCCATAGCTCGTTTTGTAATAGTATGGCTGACTATTTTGAGCATCAGTAATGGTTATGAGACTCAATCCGTTGTTTGTAGTGATAGTCATAGCTCAGAAGTCTCAAATTTTAATGCTTTGGAACACTCACACAGCACAGTGAAGATGAACTGCACGTTGCCGAGCAAATTTTCAGTTCCAAGGCTAGGCCAGGAGTGCGGAAACTGAACGCCATAGCACCAGCAAAACCAAGCAACAATTAAGGAGGATAAGGAAATAAAGTAATGATTACGGAACAGATTTCATTACTAGAGAAAACTGTATATAAAGCACTTAAAATTGATCAAAAGCACAAACTTTGCGTCCAAAAGCATCTTTCCTAGCAAAGTACTCTGAGAAGCATAGTTCCAAAACAAAATTAATCTGACACAACTCGGGGGAACTGGAAATGGGAAGCCCTACAGGAGGTTCATTCAATCTATCTCCTTAAGCAGCAGCAGCTTCAGCAGGTGGTGCAGCTTCAGCCATTGTTTCGTCAACTGCAGGTCTTTCTACCTTCACACCAACATCTTCAGAGTAATCACCATGGACCTGAATATAGAAACGAACTAAGATTTAGAATCAGGGAAAAGTTGCTTCTAATAAATAAGAAAAATTCAGAGAGCATTGGGTGGAAGAAACATGCCTCCATCAATTTGCCGATGTCGAACTTAGGTGCCTTCAAGATCTTCACTTTCCTGATGAAGACGTTCTGCAGGGGATAGATTCCCGAGGTTGCCTTCTCAATCTCTTTTCCGATAGCTTCAGGGATGAACTTCTGTACCAACTCCTTAAGATCACAAGATGCAGCCTGAGCAATCATAATTTCCCTCATCTTCCTCCGGATCTGCAAAAAAAGATAAATCATGTAAGCATATATTACTCACTCAAGCAAATCAACTAGAATTAAAGTTCTTCCACGTTGAGACTCGGTTAGAACAAAGAAAGCAGCATAGCAACCCTTACCTGTCTGATCTGGCTAGATTGGGCATAGCAGGTCCTCTTGACCTGATTTGGGCGCCTCTTAGTGAAAGCAATGCAGAACAACCTCAAAGTGTAGTTGTCAGTTGTCTTCACATCAACATGGGATTCAATCAATGTTTGCCATTTCCTGACCAAAGACCTCAGCTTGTCTGTGGTGAAATCCATTCCCTGCACCGGTAAATCAGAACGTATATTAAATACGACAAGAAAATTTCATGCTGGTGATAATATCATACCAGAAAAGCATATGTTTATCATACCCAGAAGTTAGTCAGAACATTCTTGCCCTGCACATCCTCAGCCCTCAACCTGATCTTCCTGAAGGCATGATCTTCATCATTTTGAAGGTCACCAAGGGAAACCTCGAACACTCTGTGCTTGAGTCCTTCTGAAGCAATCTATTCTCAACAACAACACAGTCTACATAAGCATAAAAAAATAAACATAGATGGATAACGAAATGAATAGCAGTGACAGCAAATTCGCATACCATGGCCACAAACGGAGAGCAACACTAAAAATAAAGGATACATATGATAGACAAACATTATCTATCGCCATTTCAGAAGAAGCATAACTAGTCAATTCTAAGCCAAAGCTATCCCGTTTGATCAACTATTCCCCAGAGCCCAAACAACTAGCATTACAGTTCACTAATACAACCCCATTTCTGCATATGTAAGGAGCATACAATGAACAGCCTTGCAGTGAACAAACTATAAAGCAAGCAAAGAACCATAACGCCTTCACATGGTCAAAAGGCCAGCAACCTATCAAACTGGCGTACCTTGGTACCCTGAGTACGGGAGACGAGAGTCTTCCCGACATTCTTATGGGTGAACATTGCAGGAGCTTTGATATCATACCAATCCTTCTTGGAGAAGGGATCCGCTCTGTTCCCAGATAGAGAAAAGGGCAATCGAACGACAGAATGAACTCCAGTGAGAAAGGATTCAAACAGAAAATACCTTCAACCACAGACACATGAGTAAGAAAATAAAATCGTCAAAGGTACAGAAATACTCACGCCTTCTTCTTGCCTCCCTTCTTCCCCTTGGAAATCCTCTTGTTCTTGCTGCAAAAAAGTTCCACAGAGACCAGAAGTCAGCAAACCAACGAAGGAGACAAAGGTCGGAAATGAAAAGGCTGCACGGGGATAGGAGAGACGCACCCTACAGCCATGGTTGGAGGAGATAAGGAGCTTCTGCCGAGCAAAGACGACGATGCGGCTGGCTAGCTCTTTGTATTATGCAAGAAGCCTTCTGTGCGACTCAAAAACCCTAGTTGGTGGTGGTGTTGGATTATAAAGGTCTCGCCGCTATCAGTGTTTGCTGGGTCGAGATGGCCCGAGCTATAATGGGCTCCGCTCGTTTGTTCAACTCTGGACATGAGCAAAGGGATGTTAAGTGGGCCCAAAACGTGAATGGGCTGTCGCTTGGAGATGCAAAGTTGGGCTGTTGAGATTCATAACTTAGGCCTTTAAGCCGGACAGGTGACAAAATCCAAGCTGTGGGGTGCGTTCATCGGCGTGGGGTGCGTTCATCCTTAGAAGGTAATTAATAGCCATTTTAATTGCATTATCCATGAAACACATGTTAGTTATTAACATTTTTAGTAGTTTTTTTATTGCTTGACCGAATATTTTATTAATACGTTTTTAGCGGTATTTGACATTAAACATTGCATCTGAATAGTAATAATAATTTCTTTTATTTTCAACGAACCTTTATTTTCTTATCAGTGATTTCCTCATTTGTTATTAATGGTTTTGAATATCATTATTAAAACCCTGATGTCATTTTTTATATTAAAGCCTATCATTTTTAACGTTTTTGTTTTAGATTTGAACGAAAAACAACATTTTGATGAACACTTTGGATGATATTTGATAATTAAAATTAAGTCGGACTTTATTGATGTTTTGGGTTTAGTTTCAAGGAAATAGTTTTTCGTTATCAAGGATTTATTGTATTGTTATTAGAAGTTTAGTGCACATGTGTGAATGTTGGTTTGCTTGAACTACTATTTTTCTTTACATTGTCACATGTGCACTATGTCACAAGTGTTGAAGATGTTGAAAATCAATATTGTGCTTTATGATCATTGAGAACGATAATTTAAAGAGATATCAATTAATCGCAAAATGTTAACAATGTCATTGAAAGTCTTTGGAAGAGGGTCATGATGAGAAAGTTATAAACTTGACGTGAAAATGTGAATCATAAGTAAAGAGGTTGTAAATTAATGATATTGTTATTCAAACTGTTAATGATAATGTTACATAACTTTAATGATTCAGTCATAAGCGTTGATGACAAAAATGAAAAAGGGTAACAATTTTTCCAAAATTGTTAATAATGTAATTGTAATGAATTGATAAGTATATTAAAATTGTTGATAATTACAATGTATAGTAATAAATAATTCATTTCATAAACGTTGATAATGTTATTGCAAAATATTAATACTATATTGCAAGTTACCACGAAGTGTGAGTGAGCAGATATTTTTTAATTTTCAATTTCCATTTTAAAAAGGGACAAATATTATGTTCTTGTTTTATTAAATACTAAATAATAATATTTAATTGTATTAATTATGAATTTCCATTCTAATTATAATTGTAGTGGAGAGAGAGGGTTATGGAGAAGGTCGGGAGAGAGAAAGAGAAACATTAATTGATAATATTAATTATAATCATTATATTTACATAATACCAAATTTACCCTCAACTACCTATTAACTACTTACCTTCCACTAACTACCTAATCCACTATCAACCAATAGGAATAGTTTAAGCATTTGCTTAAACCTATAGGCTTAAGCACCGGATCCAACCCGTGTACCTCAAGAGCGATGTGGATCCGCTCTTGAAGGCACCTGCTCCTACACCTCTCTGAGCATCCACCGACTGGCGTCCAGCTAAAAGACGGTAAAGAAGCACTTGTGGGGAGGCAACCCCACCTAGGTTTGCATTTTCTTACCTTTTTCCTTTTTATTTTTTGTGTTTTTGAGTCTTGAGGTGCTGTTCGAGTCGTATGTCGTTTTTGATTGAAAATAGGTCCAATTCGGAGTTCTGGCAGCCCACACGGCCAGCCCTGAAAGTGACACGGCCGTGTGGAAATGGGTTTTGGCCGTGTGAGCTCTCGACAATTTCCACACGGCCAGCCCTGAAAGTCACACGGCCGTGTGGAAATCCTCCTCTGCCCGTGTGAGCTCTCGTCAATTTCCACACGGCCAATTGTGCTTTTCACACGGCCGTGTGGAAATCCTCGGCCTGCCCGTGTCGGCCGACACGGGCACATCTGCACCTCACACGGCCGTGTGAGCTTGCCCGTGTGGCCGAGCCACGGGCTATAAATTCGGCCGACACGGCCGAGTGGTCAGAAATTCAAACTTCACTCGCCGGAATCCTCTCCCCCTTGCCGGAAAACCGCGACTTTTCGCCCTCTTTGGAGATTTTCGGCCATTTTTGGTCGGTTTTTCACAAATCCAACACCACACCCACCCTTTCCTCCCCATTATCGGCCTATCCCTCGATTTTGAGGTGATTTGGATTGATTTTGAGTCGCCAGAGGCGATTTCCGGCGAGACTCCGGCGAGGCTCCAACGAGTACTTCCGGGCAGTTTTTCGGCCTTTCATCGGTTCCATTGATTTCCCCTCATCATCCCCTACACCTCTACTTGAGTCTCCAGGTTTGATTTTGACCTTAACTATGTTATTTGTGGAGAATTGGGTGTTAGGGTGCATGTTTAGAGAACCACTTTGAATCATGTGAATTGTGTGCAATTGATTGAGGGGAATGCTTGGATTATGTATGAATTGTGTTGGGCAATGTCCCCCTTGCTTGTTTGAGCCCTTGTGTGCAAGAATTTTGTCAATTCCATGTTTACCTTAATAGTGCACACAAGGTGTTCGACGAAATGCCTGTTTTCGTGCCATGTTGTGAGCACCGGTTGGGGCCTTTAATGATGTGCTTTGAGGGTGTGTTTGCTATGGATGTGAACCTTGAGTTGCCTACTTTTTCATGGATGTGCACCCCCACCCTGATTATGCTTGTATGATCGAGTTTTTGACCCCCGAACTATGGATGAAACCATGGTTCGGCTGTTTTCTGTTCTTAAGTGTGGGGGTGTGATTAACCTTTTCCTTGGCTCCTTTGGTTCCACTTTGGGTTGTTCTTTTGCAGGACCATGACGAAGCCCGACCTCAAGCACCCATTTGTTCGAGATTTGAGGAGGGGCCCTCACCAGGATCGTTTTAAGAGCGTCCTGGCCTGCAAGTTTGGGCAGCATCATTGCTGGTCCAAGCGAGAGTTTGAGAAGCTGAACTGCTACGAGCACTTCTCCGCCATTGTCACCAACCGCCCCTGGCACCGTCTACTCTGCATCCGCGAGAAGGTCTACCACGAGCTCGTGCTTGAGTTCTACACGACCTTCAAGCACGCAGACACGGAGGATGGAAGGACAGAGAAGCCGTCCAGTTCAGGCTCGGCGGTGAACCCCGATCCATGAGCTACCACGAGCTGGCGACCGCCCTCGGCCTCGGCCTGGCCAATGATGAGGACTACATCACCGAGCTCACCGAGCCAGAGGGGGTGGACTTCAGGACACTGTACACCCACCTCGCTCGGCCAGGCCAGCCTCCCTTCCGGCGGGGAAGACGAAGGCCAGCACCTTGCAGCTCGACAACCGCATTCTCCACCACCTGCTGGCTAAGTCCTACACCCCAGCTTCGGACAGTGCCAGCGCATCACCCAGAGAGCCATGTACTTCATCCAGTTCATGCGCCAGGAGGATCATCTTCTCCACTTGGGTTCGGTGGTGGCGAGGACCTTCGACAAGAGTGCTTTCGAGCTGAAGAAACTCCACTGTACCCCCCTCATCACCCGCCTGGCCGCCTACTTCCAGATATCACTGCAGGGGTGCACAGAGCAGGGGGACACCAGTGTCTTTGGCGCATTTACGATAAGTCGCATGCACCTGCTTCGAGAAGAGCGAGGAGTCAAGTGGATCGAGGGGTTTCCTCAACCTCAGATCCCAGAGGAGGACCAGCCGGAGGTTCCTAAGGGTGCGGATGATGAGGATGTCCACCCCGAGGATGTGGATGATACTGTTGCCGCCCGCCCCGCCACCTTCGAGTACGGGTATGGCAGTTTCACTTTTCCCGGCCAGGACTACTTCACTCAGCAGTTCGAGCAGCTGCATCTCCAGAATCACCAGCTCTACGACCATCAGCTCCAGTTCCACCAGCAGTATTCGGCTCACCATGCCGAGTACCAGAATCGGATGGCTGCTTATGATGAGCGTCTCGATCGGATGGAGACCCAGCAAGGAGTGACCCTAGCTCGCATCGAGAGGGAGCAGGCCCGATCTCGGCACATGTAGGAGGTCCAGCAGCATCTGCTCCAGCTGCTACCGGGCGAGCAGCCAGTCTGGAGGACTCCCTGGGAGGACTCTCCACTTCCACCTCCACCAGCTGATGATGATGATGCATTCATGAATGACATCGATCTGGACAACCTTGGCGACGAGTAGGCTGTACTTGTCGCCCTCAGTGTGTGTTTTTGTTTTAGACTTTTTGTGTTTGCTCCATGTGTTTGAGGAGCTTGAACTGAGTCTGTCGTGTGTTTTGTTTCTTTTCTTTGTGGATTGTTTATTTTGTGGCCATCTGGGTCACCTATGATCCCTAACGAACATGTGCTAGTGTGTTCTTGATGTTCCCTTAGTGCAGAACTGCCCGTTCGTTCCATATGTCCCCCGCTGGCTGGTCCCCTTCCCGTCTTCCGCAGTATTTCAATCCGGTAACATCGTTCCCCTTCTCTATCCCTCTGCTCCATTGAGGGCAATGTCATGCTTAAGTGTGTGTGTGTGTGTGTGGGGGGGGGGGGTGTTTATCTATTGTTAACTGCTAGATGTTTGTGTGCTTGGAGCCTAGTCCGCTGTCCAAATCTCGAGATTTGAGGGCTCCAAGTACGACTATTTGATCATATTGGCACTGTGTTTTGATTGGTGAATTGAATGGTTTTCGGATTAATGCATGACAACTGGATTGTGACTAGGACAGCCTATTATGATGACTGAGACGTGCAGTAGGGATTGTGTAGGGTTTAGTTTTTCAACTGTTTGCTTACCAACTGTGACTTGGATGGATCACTTTTTCTTGACAGTCGTTTATGCATCTAGTTCAGGGAATCAGAATGAGAGATAGAGCATATAGGTAGCCATGTGAGATTTGAGCCTGCTCGTTTCTTTCTTGTGCGATAGTTCCCTCT